GGGGTGATGGAGGCAGCCCCAGAATAAAACACCGCAGACTCCTAGTGTTCATAACCAAGTTATGAACTTGGTTTCTCTTTAATAAATGCTTCTCAATTTTTTGCATACCAGTGATTGATTTCCAGAGTCTAGAAATGGTTGATTTTCACTGTTTTGTCCAGTTTTGTCACTGTATTTTGGGAAGAGGATTTACCAAGCTCCTTATTCCTCTACTCCAGAAGTCCTGATATCCTCCCCATCCCCTGGAACATTCTTAAGTTTATTTTAGGCTGATAATACTACCAATTATTATCCAAAATTGGCTTCATTTTAATTGAAAATCTAATCTTTCTCCAAGAGCCATTAATGGCTCTATCAGCATCTTGAAAGCATTAGGGGGCCTTAGAGGGAACCATCTTGCTGAATATAAACCACATGTTTCTTCCCCACCCCCACCCCCGCCCCCAGACTTTAGGCCTTGCTGAATAGGGGTATCTACCTGTAGATGCCTACCCACTGCCTCAAGGTACTTGGGGGTGGCGAGGACAGGGCTTTTCTGGCTCTCTTCTGTGATGGATGAAGTGTTAAGAAAACAGGTTCCTAAGCTCAAAGTTGCCTCATATGATTTCTGATACCCAATAATATAGTTGAAACCACATTATTATCCAAGCCTCCCGGCTTCCTCCACCCAACATTTATTACCGAAAACCTCCACAGGACCCTGAAAAACCTCAGAATTTCACATGACAAAGTATTCACACGCCAGTAAAGCCCTTCAGGGCCAGAGTGTCATGTGGGTAATTGGCAAGAACTTCTTTAAAAAGGATTCCATTCAATAATGTGCCTTTAAAAAAAAACAGCTAAACCTAAAGTTGAGCATCAAGTAATTACACTCTCAATCTTTCCAATTGCACAGTGTTTTGAAAATGTCACAAATTACAACCAAATGCTGCTAGAGCATATTTTATTGGTGGTTTTCTGGACCCCAGTAAAGGTGCTGGCCATACAAGTAAAAAGGGGAAAAAAGATTGCATATTTTTTTCTGTGGAACCAATGTAAGCAGAGCATACAGACAAAATATAGATAGCACCCATTGAAATATACATATTTAATGATCTTGGTCTTTGGTTTTTTGGGGGGTAGTAGAGAAAGAAAATCAGTGTATGGTCATAAAACATGAAAGTTGCTATGGAAAAGACTTACAAAAGTGGCAAATTTTCACAAGACACAGACAAGTCACCAAAGGGGTGATACACCAAGAGATAAGGGTGTGGCCTCTCACAAATGCATGGGGTTATTCAGGACTGACCTGACTTCCTGGTAGGTGTCATGGGCCTTCTCAATCCTCACTCCGGCTCCTGACCATGACCCACAGGGTAATAGGCTGGGTGGAGATTTGTGTAGATGTGCCAGACTCCATCACTTGGAGCCCTTGTAAACAATGGTTCAGAACCATTCATCCATTTATTCCCTCACTTGACACACTTCATTATGTCATTCCCTGTGTTAGATGCTGGGAATACAGATGCTGGGCATTCAAGGCAGTTTGGGTGAGTGATAGAACAAATAAACCACTTCATGTAATAGAATGTAAGTATTTGTTATAGTCTGAATGTGCCCCAAAATGCATGTGTTGAAACTTAATCTCCAATATGGTGGTACTGAGAGGTGAGGCCTTTTGGGAAATGATTACATCATGAGGCCTCCACTTTCATGAATGGATTGGCACTGCTGTACAATGGCTGGAGGGAGCTAAGCCCAGCCCCTTTTTTCCTCTGCCTTTCACCACATGAGGACACAGCAACAAGGTACCAACTTGGAAGCAGAGAGCAGACCCTCACCAGACACCAAATCTATCTGCTCCTTGATCCTGAACTTCTCAGCCTCCAGAACTGTGAGAAATTTCTATTATTTACAAATTACTCAGTCTCAAGTATTTTGTTATAGCAGCACAAACAAACTAGGAAAGTATTATTCAAAAAAAAACCTCATAAGACACACATTGCAAAATGGCACCTATAATTAATATAAACATAAATATGTTTCCTTTAGCTACATACTGATTTGTTTTAAAACCGAATTTCAGAGGAAAACTGTGATATCCAACCTCAAAAGCACATGTTCCAAGAATAAAAACCCTGTCCATCTATGCATGCCTAGTTTGAGCAATCCAGCTGAAACTTGACTGGTGTTCATTTATTAACTCTGTTTAAGTAGGCAAGCAGTTAAAAGGTACCAGAAGTTTAAGGAAAGTGAGGAAGAAAATAGGATTTTTTCAATTTTAACTTTGTCACTAGGGAAGTCAGCCATTATATTAGTCGGTTCTTGCACTGCTATAAAGAAATGCCTGGGTTATTTATAAAGAAAAGAAGTTGAATTGGCTCATGGTTCTGCAGGCTATACAGGAAGCACGGTGGCATCTGTTTCTGGGGAGGCCTCAGGGAGTTTGACTCACGGCAGAAGGCAAAGTGGGGAAGGCGTCTTACATGGCAGGAGCAGGACAGAGAAAGCAATTTGGGAGGTGCCACACGCATTTAAACAACAGATCTCAGGAGAACTCACTCACTATACAGCACTAAGGGGATGGGGGTTGCTAAACCATTCGAAACCACCCCCATTATCCAATGACCTCTCACCAAGCCCCACCTCCAAAACTGGGGATTGCAATTCAACCTGAGATTCAGTGGGTCCAGAGATCCAAACTCCGCCAGCCATGATTCAGTTTAAGCTGTGGAATATGCACTCTTCTGTAGTTTGAAAAAGGCGGCTTGAGATGTAGCTATATGGACTAAGGTTGGGACAGAGGAAACTGGCAGTGAAATAAATGAAAGCAACAGTACTGGTGGGGTGGGGTGCATGTGTTGAGTGTTAAGTAGTTTGCTGGGGAGAAGTAGGGAGAACCTCTCTTTAAATACTACAAATAGACCTCCTCTATCCTTGCCAACCCCCAAGACAAGCAAGGAGCATTTTCCACTTCCAGACCTCTCCCTGCACCTAGGGCAAGGTGGGAAAAAGGGAACTAAACTGAAAGGCAGTTGCTCTGAAGAGCCTCTCCCTATGGTAAGATTCATAAACCTACGGGGGCCGTAAAGACCGTGTACAGGAGAGGTGAGTCTGCCCTATCAGAGTCCTTCATTTCCTCCACCAATGGTAGAAAGTGCTTTTTACAGCTTCATTCCTCTATCCCACCTGCTCAATGTCTGTGGTGCCTTATTTCTGGTCTCCTTGTAAACACAGGATAAAAAGGGAGAAGAATGTGTTCAGTAGAGGCAAGAGTGCCCCCCAACACCCTGCCCATGATCATGCACCTGGTTGTAGGGACTCCTTTGTAAAGCACCTGTATGGTGCCTGCTGTGAGAGGGTAATTGGGAACGAAAAAGACCAACAGATCCCTGCCTGTTGGAGCTTACAGCCTGGCCATTAAAAGAAGCATTAAAAGTGCATAATGGGCCAGGCGTGGTGGCTCACGCCTGTAATCCAAGCACTTTGGAGGCCAAGGCGGACAGATCACCTGAGGTTGAGAGTTCAAGACCAGTCTGACCAACATGGTGAAACTGCGTCTTAAAAAAATTAAAAATATCAAATATCAAATAAATTTTTTTAAAAAGTGCATAATGAATGACAAGACAGGGAAGTAACAAGGCACCTATACAGCATCCAATCTGACATGGGGCAAGGGCTGGGAATGTGATCTTTCAGCTGCTAGCTGAAGGATAAGTGCTAGATCAAGGAAGCAGAAGGATTCTATATAGAAGGCATCACGTGTGCTAAACAAATGCCCTGAAGCGGAAGAGAAAAAAGGAAGGCACCTGAAAGAAGGCCCTGAGGCTGGAGCAGAGGTGCTCAGAAAGAAGACACCAGGGCCTCCCAAGGCATCAGAGGAGGCAGTAAAGGTTTGGGTTTTTATCGCCCTAGGATCATATGATTTGAAAAAATAATGATTTTATCAAATGATTTTTTGAGGAGTTTTAAGCAAAGGAGAGGTCAGATCAGACTGCCATGTTTAGAAAACCTCTTTGCTCCCTTTCTGTGGCAAATGGCTAAGAGTTGACAAGACGGGAGGTATGCTCAGGTGTGTACCCAGGTGTAGACATGGAGAAAACAGGATTAGGGCTTTGCCAGGAGGCAATAGCAAAGGGGCAGGAGAGAGAGAGAGTCTCGGCCATCAGTAGGAAATGGGGTCCAAAGATAGCCCACAGAGTAGACCACATGGGGACGGACTTTTGCAGGAGGGGCTGGTGGTAAGAGGGAGGTCTGAGGCATCAATGGATTGGAGGGCCAGCAGGGCTAAGGACTGTCATGGAGGGAGGAGATCAGAGGACAAGTCTGAGGATAAGATGTGCACAACGGCTTCAGAGGTGGGACCATTTCAGGGTATGATAACATTCAGAATGTGGCTTGACATTCTATATAGGTAGCTATACGGGAGTGTTAGAGAAGGAAGCTGAAGAATATAAAAGGGCAGAGCCCAGGTTGCTGAAAAGGCCCATGCTAATCCAGTCCTCAGTGCCTAGAAGAATCAGAGAAACTCAACCATGCACAGGGTCCTCCAGGATGACAGAATTAGAGGCCCTTCCAGGAGCTCATATCCCTCCAACTTTCCTACCTCCACTGCCATCTTCACACTAAATGCTTGGCTTGACTAAATAAAAGCGGCCCTCTTCACAGCCATTTAGAGGTCCATGAACTGTTTAGCACATCCTCCTGGGGCAATGGTGGGTATCACAAGCATGAGTTATTGATTACAAACCTGGTCTCCAGGTTCATGGTCTCAGTCTTTGCAGCTGAGCTCCACAGAGTGGCTGTCTGCTTGCACAACACATATGACCGCATCTTGTGTCTCCACTAGGCTAGAAAGTCAAGGGCAGGCCATTATGCTTCCTTCAGTTTCTAGGGCCACACCTCATAGGTAATATTAATAGATACTCAATAAAGAAAGAAGCAATCCTGTTTACATAAAGTTCAAAACTGGCAAAACTAATTTAAGGTATTAAAAGTTAATATAGGACCCTTTTCACAAGATGGCGCCTAAAGCGAAGAAGGAAGCTCCTGCCCCTCCTAAAGCCAAAGCCAAAGCGAAGGCTTTAAAGGCCAAGAAGGCAGTGTTGAAAGGTGTCCACAGCCACAAAAAAAAGAAGATCTGCATGTCACCCACCTTCCGGCGGCCCAAGACCCCGCGACTCCGGAGGCAGCCCAAATATCCTCGGAAGAGCGCCCCCAGGAGAAACAAACTTGACCACTATGCGATCATCAAGTTTCCACTGACCACTGAGTCTGCCATGAAGAAGATAGAAGACAACAACACACTTGTGTTCATTGTGGATGTTAAAGCCAACAAGCACCAGATCAAACAGGCTGTGAAGAAGCCCTATGACATTGATGTGGCCAAGGTCAACACCCTGATTCGGCCTGATGGAGAGAAGAAGGCATATGTTCGACTGGCTCCTGATTACGATGCTTTGGATGTTGCAAACAAAATTGGGATCATCTAAACAGTCCAGCCGGCTAATTCTAAATATATGTATATCTTTTCACCATAAATAAATAAATAAATAAATAAATAAATAAATAAATAAATAAATGTTAATGTAATGGTTACATTCTGGTTGGGGAAGGTGACAGAAATGGAGTAGTAATGTTATATTTCTTGATCTGGGTGCTATTTATATGGATGTGTTCAGTGAAAATTCATTGATCTGTGTAATTATGATTTAAATACTTTTCTATATGTATGTTACATTTTGATCTATTTTTTAAACAGGTGAATGAATCAATCAGTGGTAGAAACTAACTTAGCTTAGCTTGAACTTGAAATGTTTCCCCCCAATATAGGATTCAAACTGCATGCTAAGGCAGGGGTTGGCAGATTTTTTGTTCAAGGACCAGATATTAAGTGTCTCACAGACTATAGTGTCTCTGTCGCAACTATTCAACTTTGCCACTAGAGTGTAAAAAACAGCCATAGATACTGCGTAAATGAGTAAATATGGCTGTGTTCCAATAAAACAGGAATACTGAACTTGGAATTTATATCATTTTCACAGTCTTCAAATAATATCCTTTTGATTTTTTTTTCAATTATTAAAAAATATTTAAACATTCTTAGCTCTCCAGTCATACAAAAACAGGCTGCTGGCCAGATGTGGCCTGCAGGAAGTAGTCTGCCAACTCTTGCACTAAAGGGGAATGTACATAAAACACATTTCCTGGCCCGCACACAGGCTCAGCCTGTCTTTCCCCAATCTGCCCCTCTGTGCTCTCCCACCTTTATAAGTAGGCAAACACTCCATCTTGTCACTACACGGATATTTACTGTCCCGAGGTTTGATGGGGTCCACTTGACAGACAGGGTAGGAATTGTAATCTTTCTTATACGTCGTGAGCAAATCCATATTCTCTTCACTTGGGACGAACTGGTCATATTGGTGGACCTTCACTGGTGACACTTTGTGAGGCCCAAAATCTCTCCTGTAAGGAAGCAAGTGCATGCCGTTGGAGTGCTTGGCTTGCAATAAGGCTGTGTTTTCCTCTCAACCCAACTCTACAAACATTTGCTGAGAAATCTTGTTCTACTCTACACACCCCCACACTCCCCAAACTGTTCTTCCTCCTCTATTTCCCACTATTTCCCACTTTTGAGAAAGGTACCATCAATTTCTTCTCACCCAAGTCAGACACCTGTACACACCCTTGACCTCCTTCCTTCACGGCCCCAGAGTCTGGCATTCACCAGTGCCCCTCCACCCCATGGGTTTTTCTTACCCCTTGCTCCAGACCCTGACCATTTCTCACTTGGATCAGGTGACAGCCTGCCACCTGAGCATCCTTCTTTATTTCTCTCACTTCTATTCAATCCCCATAATGTGGCCAGAATAAACTCTCCAAGTGGAAATCAGATCACTCTCTCTCCCCGGTTTAAAAATCTTCCAGGTAAAATTCAACTTTTTAGCATAATTTATAAGCTTTCCTGGACCTGGCTCCTGCCTTACTCACCCTTATCTGTCAAGGTTCCCATCCCACCTGAGTACCCTACACTCCACAATCACAATGCCACCACTTCTGCACCTGCGCCTTCCAACTTCCTTCCACACGACCCCTTCATTGTGGAGCTAACTTCCTTTCAGGTGATGCAGCCACCTTCTCCATGTTCCCCAAAGCTTCTGCTGCTAATATTTATCTCCTTCCTCTACTTAGCCTACAGAAAACCCAGAAGAGGGAAATGGTGAAATAAGTGGAGACCCTGAGTCCTTCATTTCTCTGCTATCTGGTGTCAGTGCCCCCATTATTTCAGAGAGTATGAAAACAATAGGATCGAAAAAGTATAATGGTCTTCACTAAACTGGAAGCAGTCCCTCCCCAAAGTTTCCCAGATAAAAAGGCCCAGATGCTCCCTGCAACGCCCACCAGGAACCGCCTTAAGGAGCCAGGGTTTAGCTTGGACTTGCGTTGCCCTCCAGGGCACTTGCAGCTTCCCATCTCTCAATGCTAGCGCTTCCCTCTGAAGGCTGTCTGCTTCATGCAACAGACTGTTCTTGCCTGGAAGCCATTTATCCAACTGGACAAAGGGAAGGTAGATGTTTTCCCCGATGGTGCTTGCCAGAACAGCCCCGTCAAGGGAAGGGGAAGGTTTCCGGACAGGAAAATATTAAGCCCGAACACCAATAAAATCCACTTCCCAGCCACAATCTGGAGCAGCATTACTGAGACATGCTTGACTAGCAAAGGTAACACGCTCCACTGTAACCTGTCTTGTGTGAATTATACACGATTGTCAGTAAACCCAAACCAGGTCCTGAAAATGCTTGGTGGGATGGGAGGAGGAAGTTAGGAAGCAGGAGAATTAGTCTCTCTAGGGCTCTAAGGAGGAAATGGGAGATGCTTCAGTTGAACTCCCCTAACACCCTCTGGGTAGATTTTAAAATATATCATAGCAGCGGTTATAGGACGTTCAGCCTGGGCTGCCTTCCTAGAGGCCCTGCTGTTAGCCTGAAGTGTCTGGAAGCTGACGGTGTATATCGGGGCTTATGGAGGGAACAGACTGAACAAGAAACCAAGAGTCAGCTCCCACGTCTACTCTTCTCCGTGAACCAGTACTACATCCTGGTGTCTGTCTATTCAGCACTAAACCAGCTGCAGCAGGAAACTAAGAGGGTAAAGCCTTAGACTGCAAAGACAAATGAAAATGCCCAGAAAACTTCATCTGAAAACCAGCTGAGTGGAAAGGGTCTCTGGGTCAGAAAGCATACATTCTAAAGGGAGTACTCCCAAGGAAGTTGAGCTCTCCTCACTCCCAGAAGAGTGGGCCAGATTTCAAGGCCACCAGAGACCATACATTCCTAAACCTTCATAAAGGTGTGTGTTCAGTGATGGCTCCCTAATCCTGCACCCTATTCATTTCCAAGGAGTATTAAGAGGTATTAAGGGCAAGCAATGAGGAACGAAGCTGGGTTCCTGAGCTGCCACACTGAGCCCAGCCAACCTCAGTGCACCTAGGAATGATTTCCAGTTGTGAGCCTGCCACTCTTGGGGATCCCATACCCAGAGGCTATGGCAGCCTCTTCTGTAGTTACTCTGACCGAGAGGACCAGCTTCCTCTCAGGGATGCCGCAAGATCCTCCGTTCAAAGGCTGCCAGGCTCTTGATAACTAAAGTACACTTACTGCTTATCTCCCACACCTTCTACTGGAAAAGAGCAGACAAATGCCCAAAAACGAATTCACCAGTTCACAGACTATCCTGAAATTAGTTTCCTGAAGACAAAAGCCAGTCACCTTCTCCAGTACAAAATTTAAGTTCCTTTGTAAGTGTTCCTCTATGGTTTAATTTATTGATCAGTCATAACTACGGCAAATGATTATGGGTGGTAGGGGGAGGTGGTATCTACTTCTGAAGACAAGAAAAATTTTTAAGTTTGACTTTTATAACCTACCCAAACATAGTTACTGTGGCTTAGGAGTGAATTTAATCTGAATTTATGTGTTTCCTCATTATGTTTTTATGTTGAGAACATTCACTGAAACCTGTCATTAACCACAACAGAACTGCATGTCCCCAATCACACATAATCTTACAGCCTTTAAATTCATGTACAAGAAAAGACTGTATTTTAGTCTTCCCCAAAATTGCTCAAATTAACTAGCTTTTCTTTTTAAGAACACTGGATCTCTTCTCTCTTTCTGTGGTACATTTCTCTGTGCACATGTGACATGAACCAAGAAAAGGAAACTGGTCACAGATATAAGTTTCTTTTAGGTAAGCAGCTGTAAAAGTTATAGAGTAGGGAAGGCCAAGAGTTAAACTCAGAGTTAAGTAAAAGGTTGGAGTGGTCCTGCTGGGAAAGTCGTAACAACTTGACTTCAAATTATTTAGCAAAGCTGGAGAAAGGCGTTTGACAAGACTCTGACAAAAGGAAAGAGGAAATAACGAACAGCGAACTAGGTTCCTGAGCCTGGCGGTGAGAAATGAAGATTTTTTTCACCAGGACAAAAGGGCCACACAACACTTTTTTAAAACCTGTTTTTAATGCTTATTTATGCAAACTTCAAGATTTGTTAGTATGTCCAAGTGATCAATTACATTAAGATGGAATCCACTTAAAAGAGGTTCCTCCTCTTGCCCTGAGCCAACTTCTTTCATCCCTGCCCTCTTTCTTGGGAACCTCATCTGTAGACCATCTCCTAGACTGTGATTTTCCCTCTTCCTCCCTACTGTCTCCTTTCTCCACTGAGTGTTAGCTCCGATCTCCAAAGGTAAAGAGTAAAATAAGACAGTCCTCACTGGGCTCCATTCCACGCCAGTTTTCCCTTCTCTCTTTCAGAAAGGGTGGTCTACAGGCAGACTTGCTTTCCTCTCCTCATGTCTCACCCATCAGATCTGATTCCCCTCAACCTTGATACTCCAAGTATCACCTTGTTTTCCAGACCCAATCACTGCTTCTCATCCTTCTCCCACTGTGCTTTTTCATAGCATCCATCCTCTCAATTTTTCAATAGTCTCTCCCTTGACTTCTGTGATACTACTCCTCATGGTCTGTTCTCTCTCTCCTCTATCAGATTCTGCTCTGTGTCCGTTGATTTGATTGACTTCACTACTTCTACATGTAATTCTCAAACTTTCTAAGGTCAAAAGTCACCCATCTAAAGAAACTGTTCTGCCATCCTAGGCAGCTTGGGGAGTCCATCCCAATGTGCTGCCAAAGGTCCTTGGCTGAATCACAGGGCTTGATTCATGCCCCCAATCCTTATGGGACATAGAGTCCTCCTTACCCTCACTGTAACAGATGGGATTCCAAGCCCACGCACTCCAGGATCCAAGTTACATAGCACCTGTCTTCTTCTCTGCCATCTGAGCCCTCAACTCCCACTAGGGCTAAGGCAAACATCTGTCACGACTTCATATAAACTCCAGACAAAATATTTCAAACAATTTGAAAGATCTAAAGAGGTAGATTCTGGGGAGAGCCAACAGGTGGAAGCAGAAAATGGCACTGTGTGAGGCTTTGCTGATTATTTTCCATTAACTATGAAAGATTCAAAGCTTCC